AGTTCTTCAGAAGAAGTCGTTTGAAGTTTTTGACATATTTGACCCCTGTGACCTTGAAAACAGGTCAAGGTCATTTTCGTTCTCAAACTTTGTAGGGCTCCTACCAACGAAGCTTTCAGCCAAATATCATGACTCTAGGCCTGTCCATTCTTCAGAAGAAGTTGTTTAAGAAAAAGTTGACGGACGAGGACGACGGACGGACGCCGGACGCCGCGCCACGGCATAAGCTCACTTGGCACTTCGTGCCAGGTGAGCTAATAACCAGGGAATATGGTGTTTTCGGTTTGTATATTGAGACATGTTCATTAGAGAGGAGGAGTTTAATTCTAATGAGTCCAAGGTAAAGCTAACAACGTTATAGTTTTCCTCGGATTACATTGAAAGCTACTTGTTTGCAATAATGGCACTGATGTCTCGCTGAAGTAAATTAAAGGTTTATTACAGTTTGTGAGAATGGTAACACCCTTTAATTAAGGTAAATGTTAACAACAATACAATAACAGTAAACAGGAATAAAATCACACTTCTGACCTGTCGATCTGCATGCTTGAGACAATTTTTTCCCATTACTAAAAGGTTATCATTAACCGACCTTGACTTTTCTGGTCTTTTTTACAATTGAAGTTATTGTTAGGATGTTAAACCCCAGTCAAAACAAAATTATAATCACACAAAGAATGCATACCCTGCTTTGCATGTAATTTCATTCCGTTCACTCCTCGGAAAGAAATAATTAATTAGGCTACACAATCCTTCCTCTGAGCTGTAACCTTCCAACCTTCCTCCTAGACCAACTAGTTGGTTAACTTTGAGTGAAAAATTCAAATTACTGACAATAAGAAGCAAGAGCTTTCCAGCAAAAAAACTCCTCAACGTCAATATGTTATTGGAGTTCTTCATGTATAGCACTGAAATTATATAAAATTTTCTTGATTTTGTAGCATTCATATTTTAAAATTTACCCTAACCACTCGTTAACTCTAACCAACCTTTGAGCAACCGGGACCTGGTGAGTAGATAAAATAAGTTAAATGAAGTGCAATCATTACATTGTTTCAATTGACTTTGTGACTTGAGCCTTTACCACGAAGCCTAATCACACAACCCAAGTATGTTTCTTCCTGATGACATGGAAGCAAATCTTAGGTTCATTACTCTGAGCTAAATTAACATTTCATTTTGAACAAATATGACTTGTCTCCCCTGTGACCTTCTCTCCCCTGTGTCCTTGTCTCCCCATGACCTTGTCTCCCCTGTGACCTTGCCTACCCTGTGACCTTGTCTCCCCATGACCTTGTCTCCCCATGACCTTTAACCTGCAGTCATTATTCTCATTCACTATTCTGGTTTACATGATACATTAGGTATAGAAATATCTCTTTATTTAATTATACGTAAAAGGTCTAGATCTATTTTTTAAATGTTAAAAGTTTCTGGTGCAAATAACACTGATGTGTTTTGAAATTGAACAATAAACCTGCTGACTAAAACGAAATTGCATTTTCATCATCCATTACTTCTAGAAGAAAAATAATTTAGTCTGTTTTAACAGTGTAGCACTTCACCCGCATTCATGCACTTTTTTGTCAGAGAAAATGTAATACACCATAAAACGACACACCCCTATCTGTGTAATTACCCCTTTACTATAGTGTGGTGCTTTACTGCACCAGAAATTTTAAATACTTGATGACTTCAGGATTATGTAAGAGTCCTATAGTGCCTGTATCTATTTGAACTAGAAAAGTTGAAAATGATTCAGCCAATCAGAGGCCATATATAGAAGCCATCTTTGAATTTGAACTGACCCGCAAAAATAACAACACTTCTTATGGACCATAATAGGATAATTTATAGAAATAAATTGTCTTCCCCCATTCCTGAGCGAGAGTTACAAAACTGTACCTGGCACCAGATATGTACAGGTAACAGACCAGCGCTTAGCATATACATAGCACAAGAGCTGACAGATGTCTATCTGGCCAAGAGGGTTAAATAAACACACATAATCAAAAGATACCAAGTTGTAGATGTAGCTAGCTAGACCTCATGAAGTTTTGGTAAAAAAATTAAAGATTAACAATTGTTAAAAACCGGTCATATCTTTATTGGTATATATAGGAATTAAAGCACTGTTAAAGTAGTTTCTAAAATATGAAATGTTTTGAAAGGACCGTACTGCTTACCGTTAAAGTCAATATCAGGAACACAATAATGATTTTGTTTGACCCATCAGATTGAATATTGTTTAAATAACGATTGTTAACCTCAAGAAGAAATCAAAAGCTATCAATCTATGGAAGTTTAGGATGCTTTGGAACTTAAAATGTTTAAGAGTCAAATTAAGGAAATTGAAGTAAATGTTATGGCCAAAGATAGATCCTCATTCTGGCATTTTTGAATCTACTCTGTTCTGTAAAGAAAACCGAATAATTAATTAAACTTTCTTTCTAAAGCTTGTGAAGAAGACTTGCACCTGAACACCTGGACAGGTCTACTATCTCACACCTACTTACCAGGATCCTTTTTGTTGTCTCCATTGTTTTTGGTTGGGACCAGGATCGCAGAAGCGTTTGAATTGCCACCGTTTTCTCCAGTGCTATTTACGTGAACCATAGCCATTGACTGCTGACCCTTGAACCCCGGTCGTACACCCGATGAATGACATATTGTCGTGGTAACACTACCAGCTGATTTCATTCCTGGCAAACCTGCCTGACCAGAACTGCTGTTTGTCTTCAAGCTGCTGTCAAAATGTTCCTCAATTTGGAATGTGATGGTAATCCCGCGCGAGCGGTCTGAGGGGGACTTACTGGCCACTTGCCTAGAAATCCATTTCATGGCATAACAAGAACTTGTTTTAATGGTAATGATATTTAACTCTTCCATCATGCTCAGAATGTTGCTATAAATATCACAGTTTTGGACATGAGATTCTGTCACGTTTGCGTGGCTTTCCTCTGAAGCGCTGGTCATCTCCGGGAATGAGAGTTGGCAGTTTGATTGGTCGGCGGTAACCAGCCCCACAGTTGATATGACAACCAGCCCTAACAGCAGTACATGGACAAAGGTCCAGCTTCTCTTAACCATCATCATGGTCAAACAAATCTGAAAATACAAAACAAATATTATTTAAAAGTATGTAACCTATATGTTACAAGTGGCAGTATGTAACCTATATGTTACAAGTGGCAGCGTCCAGTATTCCTTGCTTGTTATTCATGATGCTGATAACTTGCGATTCTAACAAATTAAGAAATAAGTTACAACTGGGGGGGAGGGGGGACCCAACGTCCCTGCAAGGAAGTCAGTTTCATAGTGGCGGTAGGGATCCTCGGTTGGATACCTTAATGGTACATTATATTCAACAGTGCTCATCAGGGAAAGCAGAGCAAATGAAAATAAAAATGATGAGTGCAACAACACCCCTGAATCCGGTACAAAATGCAATGTTAGATTTACATCCTACGCGCTGACATGTTTCAACCAAAGGGAGGCTGTCTTCAGAGCACAGTTACATGATGTTTGCAACTGTGGTACAAATTTAGAAATGATGCTATCCCTATTCCTTTTGCAAAAAACATCTGTGCCAGAATTGTTTAAACCAAGAATAAATTGGTAATGAAGTAGGGTCAGCTTATTAAAAACTTAAAAAGGCCTGCAACCTATTTAACCTATAATTGACATACAGACATGGATATAGAGAAAGTAGCTTAAATGTGAATAGAATCACACTTACAAGGTCTCGATAAAATAGCAAAGTGGTGGGATTCTCTACCTTATGACCTCGAAACCACAGAAAAGACCTTAATGACATACAGTAGACAGCAGGGGGGACACAACCTTTAGAAATTGAAAAAAATGAAATGTTTATGAACTCAATAAAGACACATATAATAACCACGGTTTTGCCTTAAACTTACTATTTAAAAACATATTTCTTCTCTCATATAAAATCTCATGCAGTATGCATTTTTATGAAAATCATCTGTACAAACATAAGTGTGTTACATTTGATCAACAGTTCTGATAACTCCTGCTAGTCACTTAAAACTTCCCTACCTAGGGGCCACAAACTTCCCTACCTAGGGGCCACAAACTTCCCTACCTAGGGGCCACAAACTTCCCTACCTAGGGGCCACACACTTCCCTACCTAGGGGCCACACACTTCCCTACCTAGGGGCCACACACTTCCCTACCTAGGGGCCACACGCTTCCCTACCTAGGGGCCACACGCTTCCCTACCTAGGGGCCACACGCTTCCCTACCTAGGGGCCACACGCTTCCCTACCTAGGGGCCACACGCTTCCCTACCTAGGGGCCACACGCTTCCCTACCTAGGGGCCACACGCTTCCCTACCTAGGGGCCACACGCTTCCCTACCTAGGGGCCACACGCTTCCCTACCTAGGGGCCACACGCTTCCCTACCTAGGGTCCACACACTTCCCTACCTAGGGGCCACACGCTTCCCTTCCACAAAGCTATAGCTAGTTTATCATGCTCAGCCTCAAGGTTTGATTATATTTAAATAATTTCACAATGTGAATCAACCTTACACAGCACTATGTTGGAGCAACGAAGTTCCAACTTATAACAATTGAATATGTCATATTTATTCTCGTGATTTAATTCACGGGTATATAAATATAAATTTTATTTATTTCGCAACAATTATGATACAAGTTATATAACTTATATTAATCACTCTTGTTAGCCCGGATGTTAGCGCAGAGGGGGTCTTAATGTGGGAGGAAACTGGAGTACCTGGAGAAAACCCATGTGATTGGTGGGCAGGTGACCTTTGACCTTTTTTGCCTTGGTGAAATCCCGGGGAGTGCATAATCCATGCACTGCGCCACCCGACCATCCAATTCATGGGTTTAATTTACCCACTGAAAATCACAAATCCAGGAAAGACTACAACACAGGTCAACATTATAACCAAATCACAAACTAAAATAAAATTGTTGGCACTTCATAACATTAACTCTGAATATCTAAACAAAGAATGAAGTTAAGACATTAATCAAAGCAGATCATTAGTCACACATCACTGTCCGGTTCTGCTCTAGAACATCTCAACAATTTTGTTAGCTGAACATTTTTAACAATCTTAAAACAAAAAATATCACTGAAATTGTGCCCTCTTTTTAAAAAATATTTGAAAAACTAAAGGAATCTTGGAAATGTGAGTTAAAACACTTGGGATCCAACGGCTGGTAGCCATCAACATAAAAATCTGATGATAAAAAAATCTGTTTCTCACAACCTTGAAAACATCGGTGGCCCCGATCGTTATTTGTAACAGCATTAATTCAGCCCGTATTCAATCACTGAGAATTCCATTCTTTTTAACATGAAACTGGAATCCAAAAAAGATTTCAAGAAAGAACCCAAATGGCAAAAAAACACCTCCATACTGCGCATGCTTCCTGCCAGATGAAATCTATAGAATCGTTATTTTCATACATCCTCAATCAAAGATAAAGACACCCTACATGAGACCATTAGTGCTGGCTCTCTTTCCCTGTACTAAAAGGCTGGCAATGTCACTCCGACACCCAGTCACAGTCACGTTACACTCGAGACTCACTGAATGGATCTATTGTAAATACCATATTCTTTATGCCCCAACAAAGATTTTATTTCAATTTATTTTAGTAATTACGTTATCAAAACTTACAACATGTATTTCCTTTCACTTTTATGTTTTTTTATTTGAAATTCAACTAGACTGGTTTTACAGGAACAGAAAGAGTAGCAAAGGAAACAAGCTAAAAAATCCAAAATGTATGGAGGATAATGTTGTCAACACAAATAAAAAGAGTGAGTACCGGAGGGGAGTCTTGATCCTAGTGTTTCTGTAAGAGGAAATGTCATGTTAAGGAGTTCCCACCCTTCGTAATACACATGTTTTTCTTGTTGTATTTTCTTGTCGTCATTTCCGTATTGCGTATCGGGCATCCCATTACCATAGTGTACATGTACATTATAGTAACACTGGGTAAACATCAGTACACCCAACACCCAATATCGAGATTTTGTTGGGAAATGTTTAATCACACGTACTTCAGAAATGAAGCTTATGATACAAAGACATTAATTAACTCACGGGAAAACACTGACATACGATCAGACGACTTCAAGAAGGTCGTATATGAGGCGCATGGAATGCAGACTGATGTGTTTTGCACATACATGTAGCACGTGCTAATACTAGTTCAGAAGCTCGGGTCGCTACGAGTTTTGTTGTTGAGCGAGTTACGCTCTGTCAGGTAAATCCTTTCACAAATGCAGTTTTGTAAAATGTCAAGATCTCTATAAAATGCAAGTGCATATACATGCAAGTGATAACAACATACCATGCGATAGCCTATGGTTACATATGTACCTGACATGTAAATATATCATGCGTAAGCGAGCTATGGAATGATGTCCAAAGTGTTTATGATTGAGAGAAAAATTTGGTTCCATAAATTATAGAACAGTAAATTGACAATTTTGATATCGTAATTTAATTTATTCCAGACGTTTTTGGTATAATAAAGAAAAAAACTGTCATTGTATAAATTGTATCCCTCTGCAAAAAGTCCCGTTTTTTTCAAGGTAGACAACTATCATCAGGATCAAAATGATTGTAAAATGTCAAATTAATGAATTATAAGGGACTTTGTGTATATTTGGTTCAATTTTTCACTCTTTTTGTATGAAACTATGTGTCCTGTTTGCTTTTAGCTGGTATATATAACTTATATCCATACAATATCAATAAAAATAATTTTGTGTAACATGTTTCAGATATTTTATGATAAATAAAATATTTGAAGGGTTGATTAGCAATGCTTCTTTTCATTACTTTATTGTTGTAATAGTTCTCAAGGGGCAACATAGCAAATGTTTTATCCCGGAGCATTATTGTCGTTACTTCCTGGCTCCCTAAGGTATACGTAGATGCCAATGTGACAGAGATCCTTGTTTTTTGTCAATGTCTGCAAGGGATCAATTCAGGGCCCTCTAGTTTACTTGTCCAATGCTCTACAGAATTAAGCTATAAGGATGAACTGGCACAACTAATTAGCCAATCTGTTTCATACGATTGTAATCCCTACATAAAATTTATTCCGGTTAAATACAGTGCCTCCGAGTAATTTTAATGGGTAAATGTTGACACATTTTACATTGAATGAAATCTTCAGATATTTAATTTTAGAAAAACCTTTTGTTTAAGTAGATTTTAATATGTAATGGCAGATTGATATGGGGTCAATGTCAGGGAGTGTTCCCGTCCCACTTCACCAGTTTGGTTTGTTAACTTCCGGTTGTCAAAAGCAGATGCCTATAGCAATCTTATGTGCCTTTTGAAGCCTTAATTTGTCTGCAGGTATGTAACTATGAATCTGAATATTTCCTGGGTCTGTACGTGTGCCCCATTGGAACAGAGGATCATTGTGTTTTTACTGCCTCCACTAACGGTTGAACCCAGGACCTGGTCTACTGGTCAGACACTCTACTAAGGGTTGAACCCAGGACCTGGTCTACTGGTCAGACACTTTACTAACGGTTGAACCCAGGACCTGGTCTACTGGTCAGACACTCCACTAAGGGTTGAACCCAGGACCTGGTCTACTGGTCAGAACTCTTTTAATTGCTAGAAAAGGAGAAAACTCAAAAATAAAGATGTTTTGTGCTCACATAATAATTGCTGCTATATAAATGGGGTCAAATATTCTTCACACATATTTTAATTGCTATATAAATACTGGGGACTGAGGTGGATAGGTACAGGGACATGGATTAGATGTTTAGTCTATACAGCCTTGCCAATATCCCTGTGAGCAATCATCATCAAAGGGCAGACAACTCCCACAGGATCTATAGATGAGATCTATACACTATACAGATAGATGTCCCTAACACCAACCTCATCTAACAGATTGGCCATGTGTACATTAACAGGATGGGGTGTAAACAGATCAATGGTTAATTTCCTTGTGGTTACCGCAGTACAGATACCACGACTACAGTACAATATTACAGCCTGTCGCCTTTTTATAGGACTTATTACGACAGTACTGTTAATATTTGTGCTTTTCACATTGAGTAAAT